GACAGGTAATGACTCACAAACACTGCACACAACACCTGATATCATGTCATATCAATGCAAAAGTGTTTCTCATTTACAGTAGAAATGGGTTTAAGTTTTGCACACTTTTGACGAGACATTGGTTTTGGGTTAGCATTGAGTTTATGCGCAAATCCTATGCTTTTTGCACTCATTTGTGACGTATTTGATTGGTTTGTATACGACTTGCCATTGCTTTCAATGTGTAATGTCTTCGCAATCATAACAATACTAACCATTCATTGAGAGATTCAGTGATTTGTTTACAAAAATGTATTTTCACTTGAATTAGCATTTAGTGGTCATATCGTAGTGAATGTCAATCACGACAACAATGTGTTGTAGACATCGGTTGCACTCATCACTAAATTCAGTGTTCATTTGAAACCAATATTAATATTAACCCAAAAATCAAAACCCAAACCAAAAACGAGTGATAATTACATTGAATTGCATTTCAATCGACGACTCATTTAATGGTCAGAAGTATTGCGTTGACTCTCAAAGAGACTAAGATTTGAAAGACATTCACTGATCACGTGATACCAAAAGACTGTTTGAATGGTGTGTTGGCTGAGGAGGAATGGGATCAATATTAGGCAAACGGATGCAATCGCTGATCGATTTGATCGCAAACTACAAGACATTACATATCGTGATGTTGGGCTTGGATTCAGCCGGCAAGACGACAGCCCTCTATAGACTCAAGTTTGACCAGTACTTGAATACCGTTCCCACCATTGGATTCAACTGCGAGAAAGTCAAACTCAATGGAAAGACTAAAGTATGCCTCCATTCATACTGGCCGCACACTCCCGATGTCTCCACAATTCACATCCAGTGCCCACTATTAGTGCTATATATTTGACACAATCATAGATAATAGGGACAGACATCACACTCATAGTCATAGCCAACACCCAAAACCCATTTCAAGTGTCATTAACTGTGACACTCGAGTGTGTTGTTAACCATAAGACTGTCTAATGATAATAAGTGTTAAGACAAAGTTTGATTTGTCACTCAAATCATAAGTGGAGTATTGGATGAGAGTGTGGGGACAGGGAGTATAGTGGGTCTAACCATAGGGTTGTGTGAATACATGAATACAATGACTGAATGTGTGTTTGTTTGGACTGAAGGGCACGTCGTTTCTGATTTGGGACATCGGAGGTCAGGACAAACTGCGACCGCTGTGGAGGTCGTACACCCGGTGCAC